AGCAAGGCAAAGGATTACAGAGCGCTGGTGACCGCCCACGCTGGGAGGGGGGGAGCGGATGAAGAGGAGGATGGAGCGGATGAAGAGGAGGACGGAGCGGATGAAGAGGAGGACGACAAGCACATGTTCCTGTTCGGCCATGTGCACAGGAACGGGATGGATGGGATCGCGAAGCAGAGGATCGTGAGACTCAAGCTGCCAGCAGGAACCGGGGAGTTCAGGGTGGAGGAGATGGGGTCGTTGACGATGTCCTGCAGCTGCGGGGAGCCCAAGCAATGGGCTTTGCCTTGTAGACACGTCTGGGCAGTGCTTCTCAACGACTATGTGTTGAAGAGATTCGAGAAGAGGTTGAATCCACTGAGGTAAGCACCTTTCTGCGCTATCTGGGCACGCGCTGACTTATGACCACAGATACATACCTCACTGCCACTCCTCCCTCGCGTTCCGCGAAACCTACTCCTTCCAGTTCGTCCCGCTCCTGACCGACAACTTCGAGGAGACCCAGTTCAACCTTCCCGACGAGATAGCGGGACTGGGTCGCCGATCCAAGAAGAGGGGGCAAAGCGGAGTCGCCCCCACCCCCAAAACTCTCAGCTGAGAGTGGAGGGGGGGATGAGCCAACTGGGTGTGGTGAAGAAGAGGGGGAGGCCGAAGACGAGCAAGAAACGAAAGCAGCCGGACAGGATGTTGGCGCCGTTGGGGGAGGATGAATTGCTGCGTGCTGGTAAGCGCCGTTACCAGTGTGGGTTGTGTGAGGGGGGGGCGCGTCACCATAGCAAGAATTACAATAACAGATTGGAATAGCATAGCCCAAACAAATAGAGGCATCTTGTGAAGTGTCATACCTGGTGCTCGCACAAAGCGAGGTCGAAGAAATGCAAGTACTTTGGGAGGGCGATCGGTGAGGAGCTGGAGGTGCCCAGGGACAACACCAACTGGAGAGACTGGGAGTAGGCGAGGGGGGGGGGGGGGGGGACTAGGAGTAGGTGAGTGATATGTACAAGTAGTGCTGTGGCATACATTGTTTTACACATGCATAAGACATGTGAACCATGGGAGGATAACAGACATCAACCATGGCTACTCAATGACACCAATCAATACGAGACAACAAGCATTGAATGCATCGATAACCAGCAGGTTGCCGGCCTGAGTGCGATGAATTATCTCTAAGTCCAAATAGCGGCCCAGAATTCCACTTGGGCCGCGTCCAAAACAATTCTTCACCCAGACGCGCCGCTGTTTGGGGGAACCGGCGATTCTAGATAATGACACTTTCCAACCGGCGATTCTAAATAATATCTCGGTAACTAAGTGTGTTTGCTAGACACTGTATACATGCTGACATAACACACATCAACTCTCTGCCCCAAAATGGGACATTTATTTATAACTGCAGGGCATGACCTGTCCACACTGTGACTGATCCTACCCAGTGTATTCATGTACAACAATAGTTGCATCTCTCCCTACTAACATATCATTAGCCCCACTAATACTGCTATATGACTCTCAATAAGAGACTGTTTCTTATATACCAGGGTCCATAAGTTCTGCTCCCAGCTGGACACCCAGGTACGGACTCTGAATAAGAGCTGGGAAACGAGATGCAAGGATTGGGGGTTCAAACCCATACTAGCTTTATATCAACTTATCAAGCCATTAAGCCCCAAATGAGAGCTCCAACCCGCAAACCCATATTTCAAAAGTGAGCACTTCTTTTTTAAAATATGCCCAGGTTGTCAACAACCATAGGACAAAACTTTCTAATATATCCGGGTGCATATCTCTCTGCACCAAACCCAACCCATAGCCTGGCTATAGCCACTATGGCCATATTTAATTTGTCAGTCTGTAGTTCATCAGTGTTCAGTCCAATGCATGCCACAAAGATACCACTGAAATCGTATGATCTAGTAGTACATTGAGTCATTGTAGTAGCCCGCCTTGACATCTTATGCATATGTGAGAGGTGTAGGTACACCCGTGTGTTTGCACAATCACATCTTGCCAATTGTACCTGGGCATATCAGAACAAAAAATATGTGCACCCATGTATATAAGAGTTTTTCTCTTCTCAATAACACTTGCAATCCACATTCAGTCCTTGTTGAAAGTGTTTTGTGGATGTATCAAGAAATGTAAAGCAGCCCAAGCAGGCCAAACATAATTGTCCCATATGCCGGTGGCGGGGAGTTGTCTTTGCTGAACAATGTCTGGCCACTGTAGCATGCTAGCTGCCTACACACCCCAGGGACTATCTTTAGCACTCTTGCTTTTATTATTGTTCCCTTATACAGTTGTGTGACCTACTCGCTCATGCCAAGACTCCTCTCCTTATTGCCCATATTCCTTATTTCCAATACTCCCAATGTGCTAGTGTAGCAACCCGTTTTGGCCATGTCAACCAACATATACCCTTACTTCTTCTGTGCTGTAGTTGCTTAGTGTATACGTTCCGGCTATAATCCTTGTTATTCGTTCATGTATATAAGAAAGGCTGGGTACAGGGAATAGAGATCTCAATCCACTCTCTTGACTCTCTCTTCAGTCCCTCCCCTCCTCCTCTTCTCCGGCCTTCACAACACTTCTCGGCCTCAGCCACCTCACATCTGTCATCCTACACAAGCACGTGAACTAAACCCCTATTACACTTGGTGTTTTACTACAGTTGTTTCCCCAGAACAGGTCTGATCACCACGGCCACCATTGCATGTCTCCATTGTGTGGGATGAGTGACTCTTTCAAGAAGTCTATCACACTGTGGGCCCTGTGCGGGGTTGTCTGGGCTGTATTGCTCAGTTGCTATGAGGATTGGGTCCTGTGAGTGGTGGACACATGATCCAAGGACAATGTGATGATGAAAGGCCTTCGAGACGGACAATATGAGAAGACTCCTAAACAATACTGCCCTGAGCTACTGTTGTCTTGAGAGTATTGGTTGGTGATTGGTATATGTTTTGTACCACTTAGTCAAGTTCTGCTAGAGTAGTCAATAGTAGAAGTTGGTAATAGTCAAGTTGTCACTAAATATTCATTGATGGAAAGAAGTCTGAAAGTGATACAGAAGACTTCCTTTTATACCTTTCAATCAATGATTGCTAAGCATTCTCCAAATTTGCCACCCATGCTGATTCAACATTCCTCTTGATTATTCAGCATAATGAGAGCTGTTGAATAAGCTGTTGAATCAGTGTAACAGTAAATGTGATGACATACTGAAATACTCTCCAAGTATATGATAAAATAGTGAAGCATATGATAAAGTGGCAAGACTGCTGAGTAAGCATGGAGGAGAATGCGATAAATACTATGGCTACACAGAATAAGCAGAGGGGTCACATGACAAGTGTCCATAGTCTGAAGAAGGATCATGTTGAATGATCAGGCAAGTTCTGAGTTGGCACGAAGGACGCGGGCGGCGGTCTCCGTTGAACTGGTGTTACCTAACTACTACTTGGTGAAGGACCAAGTAAGTTTTGTCACATTAAGTCTGCTAAAGTTGCTCTAGCATACCAAGCTCATTGGACCCCATCAATAGAACATTATTTTCAATGCTGGCTCAGTATGCTTGTGGGTATAGACCTGACAGTGCTGGGAGGAATTCAGACATCTTCCCATAAAATATCCTCATATCCTCTCCTTCCCTTGACTTCCCTACTACTACAAGCCCTTGCCTAAGCACACCGGCATCTCCTAGCCAAGCACCTGGGCTCAATCTGAATACACTTGATACATCCAACAACTGTCTCCCTGAGGCAGGCCTGATCAACACATTCAACTCCTCTAGTTGAGCAGATACCTCTCCTCATGCAATAAAGGAGTAGAAGAACAGGATGCAGTACATTCTTGAGCAGAGAATGAGATATAGAAACATTCTATCATCAAGGCCACATACAGACCCTGTACATTCACAACAAGGTCCTCAAAAGCAAATGCTGCAGCAGTGAAGTGACTACTGATAAGAAGATGTACAAGGTGAAAAGCTGTCATGAAGCACAAAAATTTGAATTCATCCTGTGCAATCCTATTCAATCCTGTGCAATCCTATTCAATCCTGTTCAATGCTGTGATGATCACAAGGAAGATCAGTACGTATCAAATTTAAAAAATCCGCCACAAGTGGATTTCTGCCACTAGTGGAGTTTGCTTCCATTGAGCCATTTGGCTCAAATTTGGCTGAGGGCCCAATCCTCCTTGTATGCATTTTTGTATTGGCAGCAAAAGCCCAAAAAGTTTTTTCCAGATGCACCAGAAGTGCTTGTTATGTGGACGCCATGCACAAGCCACATGATTTAAATGCCACATCATCCATATGCAGAAATGACAACCACTGTCAGCACTTGGACATAACTAGATCCCTTTGACTGCACAGCCCTCATCCTTGAAGACCTTGACTCCCCACTACAACTGACCAACATCACCATATCTGCCCCCCGATCCTCCTCCTGTGCACTGTCCCAACAAGCAAACAAGAAGAAAGACAGCAATGAACCTGCAACCTGGCAGTGGAAGAACAACAAACACAAAAAGACACTATGCATTGGGCCAGATGGGTGCACAGGAACCGGCTACATTGTGGAGTGGATGACATTGCCTTGGAAGGACTGGGCCGCGTACTCCAAATCAAATGACAAGGCGGCCTTCTGCTCCACTGTGATCTACAACTGGCTGTTGGACAAGGAGATTAAGAGGTTCTGTGAGATGGCCAAGGCCTCTGGAGTACATGCTCAAGTGAGTGTGGACAAGCTTGACATGACACTGATGGGTGGCCCACAGGTACAAAATCTCCAGAAGATTTTTGATCAGGTGTTTGCACTCCAGAAGCCAACTGGACAAGGGGTGAAGAGAGTTACATAGAGTTTGTAAGTCTTATCAGTTCTATGTACTTAGACTCTATGTAAGGCGATGTCGGACAGAAGGAAAAAGACAAGACGGCCATACTCGCCAAGTCAATAAAAAACCTTCCTCGCCTCTAGCTACTCCCTTCCCCTTGCTCCTCACATCCACATCGTCCTCGCTCGCGCCTTCACTAACTCTATCCCCACCCTACTCTGCATTCCGTGCCACACCTCCTTCTCCATGCCCTTCCTCCAACTCCTCAATTCCACCGCTGTTTCCTCGCTCATCAACCCTCCCGCCGAAAGAACAAGGGGGCGGAACGCCCCCCCATAGATCCTCAGCGCCTTGCTGACAACCTCCGCGTCCCTCTTGCTCAACCATGCCACGATCTGTCCCTGCACCCAGTCCAACCACTCCATCTCTCTCGGCTTCCCTCTACCGTCCACCATGTACATGTGCTTGTCCTCGAGACCGTAGACCTTCAAGTCATAGTCGGCGTTCCGAAGCGCACCTCCTCCTCCTCGTACCCGAAGATCATTCCTCCTTCGCCCTTCTTGGGTTGATGGCTCAAGAGAGACGACGGCGCCGGCGACACGGGAGAGGTAGGATTGGAAGACTCTGTTGATAGAGTCGTGTTGTCGGATAGACCGCGTCTCACGCAAGCGGCAGACTTCGTCATGACCGAGGTCAGACTCGTTGGC